AGCTAAAATTTCTCTTTCTTTTAGTACACATTCTTCCATTTCGTGTACATGTATCATATATTAAGTACTAGTTATCTATTCTATATCCTTTATCCCAATTTAGATACTCAAAGATAATTCTTTTTCAGAAGAAAAAAAATATTTTCTATTAAACCGTTATTTTTTCAATGTGAGTTTTCAATTTTATTTTTCCTTTTTGCTGCTCAATGCAACATCCTCCACCCGATCCTCCATGCGAGGTTGATCAAGCCATAGGATATTTAGAATATTCTCGTTTTGTTATAGCTGCAGAGCTGCATGGTAACATAAGATTTGTCAAAGACCCACAAAAACTATCAATTGGAACAGGAGTATTAATCTACCACCGATGCGAATACGAAGGCTGCCCAGCAGGCTTTAAATTTATTAAAAATTTCGACAATTACATTTTTAAATCTGCAAACTTAACTCATATTCACTCAGGACCACCACCACAACATAAAAATACACCTACAAGTGGTACTTACCGTGCTTGGATTAAAAAATTTCTCATGAATCACGGAAGTCCACTTAATGCAACACAAGAAGTCAACAAAACGCTTGAAATACCTAAAGATCATACTTGTATTCACATGACTATGAAACAAACTGCAATCAATCAATTGAAATATTATTTACAACAAAAAGATCTTATGTGATCTTTACCAGACATATCTTTAAATCAATTTCAATCTTACAAAACTATGTTAATCAATGGGAAGATCAACATGATGACCTTATTTATTTTGACATTCAAGGTGAAGATACTGATTTTCCAGACAAATTGGTTTTTATTTACTCTGATAATGATATGATCTCTCAAATTCATGAAAAACCACCAATTTATCACTTAGACTCTACGTTTAAATTAATTATTCATGGATTTCCTTTTTATGTATTAGCTACCAAATTTGCTAATACTCATTCTATCCCTTTGTGTTATTTTATAATATATCCAGATAATAGTGAAAATATTTCTTTTTGCTTAAGTAAATATTTTGAAACAACTCACACAGAACCTGAATTTATCATGTCTGACTGTGCACTAAACATTTTCAACGGGATTAGGAATTCATTTCCGGAGTGCAATATCTTTTGGTGCGCGCTACATGTAATACGCGCACTTAAAAAGAATCTCTCAAAGATAAATGATGAAGAGATTAGATCAGAAGTCGAAAAATTTATGAACATTTTATGTTATTATCGTGATTGCACAGAAGAAGATGCTGCAAAAATGTATAAAGAGCACATTATTGATAAAATTCAAGATCAATTGGAATTTAATCAATACTTTACACGTCAGTGGGACATTCATAAACAACAGTGGATAGCCGCTGCCAGACCAAATGAATTAACCGTTGTGAATAACGTTTCTGAATCTTTATTTAAAAAGATAAAATATCACGATTTTGGCTGCGTTAAAAATCAAAGAATTGATATTTTTGTCAAAAATCGTTTAGAAGAAGTTGCACCCAATTACTTTTATCGTATTAAAAACGATTTACTTCAAACAGGTTTTATTCCTTCAATTAGAATTCGCGAGCCTCGATTGACAGATTATAAAACAAAATTGAAAAGAGAAGTTCAATCACGTTTATACCAAGTATTAAATTTTGTTCAGAATCAAGAAGCCAATTTGAATCCATTAAGATTTTTATTGGAAAATGCTGAAGAAAAACTTTCTCAAATAAATGAGAAGATACAAAATTCAATTACATATTTAAGATCGTTTGAAATTCCAAATGAATTGTTAGATACGTATATGTTAGAAATTAATGAATTTTGTTATAATTCTCCAGGTTATATTTTAGAACATTTCGAAGAATTTTTGGAGGATTTCAAAGAAAAGAATAATTTAATAGACTAAAAAATTTATTATTTTTATTTATTGTGAATTTTAAATTGTCACTTTTTAAGTGTTACTCCCTATTGAAAGTGTCACTTTTTGGGTGTCACTTTTTCGGAAATTCTTATATACTCATAAGTATTGCTACAGTTAAATGGTAATGTCTGACTTTAGTTATGATGTTAGCTAATGGTGAGTCAGGCTTTGACACTAAACCTTTACCAGCGAAGTCGTCACAAACTAATAAAGTGTTTGATGGATATTTTTTGAAGGGGTATTTTGAAAGTTTTGATAGAATGTAGTTTGTCAGTCGTTTCATATCGTAAACTCCTGAGTACTGACGTAAGTGGTGTTTGTCAATAATTCTTTCCATCTCCTCAGAAGTCTTTTGCATTCCTGACTGTATAAATTCAACGATGGCATAATATTTCCTCTTACGTCGAATGTAACGTTGAAGAAATTCAATGAGTTCACTGTCTGGAACTTTAACGACAGAGGCTTGAACTTTTGACATAAATGTTTTCGCTGTTGAGTCCATAGAGTCTGAAGTTGCTGATATAATGATTTGGTCATAATATGAGTCATTTCCTAAACGTTCTGTTATGAGTATATGACGAATGAGGTTAAATGTCTTACCTGAACCCATCTTTCCACAATAGAAATACACACCATTTGAACAGAACTCATAATCTTTGCTGAAAGGAAGAATAAGAAAGAGTTAAGTTTGTCTGTAGTTTCATTCATGTCTTCATCTACGTCATGTATTAAATGCTTCATTTTATCTCCATTAAAAATGCAAGTCAGAAATATTCAGAACATAGCACCGAGTCTAACTGACAAGAGTATAAAGATATACTATGAACATGTTATGATGAAACCAACCAAAATTCAAGAAAGTCAGTATACTTATGAATATCCAAGACACTGGGTAGAGTATGTAGGAGGTGAGAAAGCTATTGAAATCAGACAGGTTCGAAGTATTCCAGCAGGAAGAACAATATTATTGAAGAACTTTAATGTTTTGAGATATAATGATGAAACAAAGAAGCAAGATAGTTTCCCTGTTGCTGTGTATGTGAACTTAGATACAGGAGATGACATGAAAGTTTTTAATACAAAGCTTCAAACGGTAGTGAGAGAACAACTGACTGCGGAAGGACATCCATTACCTTCAGAAGTTACCATAGCATATAATTTTGAAACAAACTCAATAGATTTTAAAGTCGTCTCTGCAAAGAAGTCAGGTTTTTACATTTAATGAAGCAGATGTATATTCGAATGAAAACTTCAAAGCTATTGCATGGTTAGATAATGACGATTGCTTTAAGAAAATATTTAAATACAGTGACTCAACGATGTCAATAGATGACCTTCGTGGAATGTTACCATCGACGTTTACAGTAGAAGGTTCAGCAGGATTGCTTACAAGATTGTCAATTGGTGGTATTTGGTCTCGTGAGAACATTGTTATAAAATCCAGTATAAGTGAATTTGCTGAAGAATCTATATTATGTCTTTCAAACTACATGTATTCGCCGCCGAAGCATTATAGTATAACAAACTTTGTCAGTAAGTTTAACATAAGACTTGTCGAACCTTCTTCAATGAAAGATGTTGTGCTACCCAAAGACGGAAAGGATGGACTCATTATTGAAATGATTTTAATTGCATATTAAATGAGCTTGTTCTTGAAGGTCATTCATGATGAAATAACTGTTGTAGAAGATGTTAGCAATTGTTCAGACATTTTGAAGCGTATAGATGAGATAAGAAAGAAGTTAGATAGACCGCAAAGCAGTGAGGGCGAAGCCCGTGAGAACGCTTATGTTTCATTGACTTTCTCCAGTAACGAGAACTTTTATGAGATAATATTGAAGAGAGATGATTTAATATGGTGTAAATGGTAGCTTGGGCAGCTTTAGGCGCAATGGGAACAAAAGCATTAGCATTTGGAGCAAAAGCACTTGGAGCTTATGACGCAGTAAATAAAATGAGTGGAGGAAGGGTTTCGAAGACATTAGATGCAAATAAAGGGAAGATTGGAGGCTGGGTTGCAAAGAAGTTAAGATTAAATAAAATAGGGCTCATAAATAGAGCATCCAATTTGGTTGCGACTGAGTCAGAAAATGCTTTAGGAAAGGACGATGAGTTTGCAAAACACGCAAAAGACTTTAATGACCAGATGAAAGGTGAAACAATGCATTTAAATAGAGTCGATGGAACTAAAGAAAATGTTTCTTCTCCACCAGTAGTTCTTCCGTATGGTCCCTATGGAATGTATGGAAACCCTTACGAAAGACCATTTGACCCATTGACTGGTGGAAGTAACTGGTATCATTACGGACGAAGAAGAAAGACAGTCAAGTTGGAGACAGACGTGAAGAAAGCAACTAAAAAGAAACCAAGGAAGAGAGTTATAAAGCAATGAATTCAACAGGGTGAAAAAAGAGGTGAGATCTCACCACTTCACCTAAATTTATTTTTGTGCTATGTTTTCATACGTGTGAGGGTGGTGATATCATTAATTTTTAAGTTTATTTTTTATTTTATTTTTTATTTTATTTTTTTATAAATGACAGAACAAAAGCAACTCATACAAATCGAAAAATATAACAAACATACATTTAAACATTTATTCTTCCTTCCTGAGTATAACATGTTCTTTACACTTCATCCTAGACCAGTTGACTATACATTGACTGTGTATAAAGATTGTCATGGTAGTTTTATAAAAACTTATGATGATGAAGGTAAGTTAACAAGACTATGCATTTCAAAACTTGAGAAACTTTATGACTTCAAGTATGACTACAATAGAGTTAACATTGACGATGAAGATATAGAAGAAAATTTATGAGAACGTTTATTTTTTCATTAGTGAGTTCGTTAGTGAGGTGAAGTGGTTGGCGGCTTTGTAAATATTTAAGGTTAAGTTAGTGTTGTCGTTTGTGTTGTAAAATATACGTTAGCGGTTTCGTAAAGTGTCAAATTCACATATAATGGGTAAGTAGGTGCGCAGTGCCTCCGTACACTTGATAGGTGTATTAATTGCGAAATCCTTGAAGAAGAACGAACAGAATGTGTTGACGAGGTAGCCGAGCATGATGAAGAGATCCAGCAAGCAGAAGAGGAACAAATGCTTAACGACGATCATGCAGCCGAAACAAATGCCGATGGTTCGAGGAATTCCTTGGTCTGGGATGTTGTAGATGAAGAGATAAAAGATCTATACACATTCATGATAACAATCCTCAGACAAAGAGCAATTGCCGAATCAACAGTTGATCCAACGATCAATAAAGACGATAGAGCCAAGGAATTGAGTGATGCTTACGATTTCTTCATAGAGCAAGATGATTCCCATCTTATAAATGGTCATCATCTTGCTCAAAATGATGGCAAGTTTTGGTACATGAATGGCATAAAGCAACTAAAAGCAATAAGACCAATTGGAAAAAGGATGATGTCACTTTCGTGCAGTGAAGCAGATGTAGAACGGGTAATATCTGAATTGCGAAAGACAAGAAATTCAATGAACGAATCATGCAAAGAAGAATATGTAGCATGCCGCTTCTTCATCAAGTTGAATGATGATCAATTTGATATTTGATTTTGTTTTTTAATAAAATTTATTAAATAATTTGTTTTAAAAAGTATTATTTTTATTCGTAAAGATATTAGACAGAAGGTGGCCAGCCTAATGTCTATCAATCTTTAATATTAGTAGTAATTTCCCGCATTTCTGAATGATGATTGATTAGCTTTGTTGTTATTGATGTAAAACTGGATAAGTATTAAATAATTATATTAATCTTGGCCAGGAGACTGCTGATGGCCAGTCAGCAGCGGCCACTATGAATCATTATAATTATTTAATACCTAAATTGAGGTAAAAAGCAATAAGACTTGCCGAGCTTCATGCCCCTACCTCATATAAATAGAATCACACTTTATTGAATCAACATCTATAAGAATGAAGTGTTTTGAAGCTGAAATAATATTGAATAGAAATTAATTTTTTCTGAAATTTTGAATGAAATTATGGGAAATAAAAAAATTACTAAATATTGTATTCATACAAATATTGTTGTAAACAGAAATTCATCAAAAGTGACACCTCAGAAAAGCTAAAATATTGAATTTTTGGAACTTTTGATAGAGCACGTTTTTAAATATTAATTAAAGTAAATGTATATTTTGTAAAGATTCTTTTTAATAAAAAAATAAAATTTTGAAGAAGAACACAAAATCTTCTGAAAAATAATATCACATAAACTCATATTATTTTCTAATATATAACTATTTTATATAAAAATCAAATTCAATGATCTTAAAAGCGAAGGATAAACCTCAAAATTTACGAATATAATGAGTGGGAATAAAAAAAAAAAAAAAAAAAAAAAAAAAAAAAAAAGGTAGTGGGGCTTCCAGGCACTTCGTGCCCTCTAGCCCCTGAAGATATTTAGTATAAATGAAGTTTTTATTCGGTATATTCTGAATCTTGAATGTCTTGGAAATTTTCTTCTTCTTCGCTCTCTGAGGTGAGGATTTCTTCGACTTCTTCTTCGTCATCTGGTGCTACGTGTCCAGCTATAAATACTTTGTAGAGTCCATCTGGAGGTGTCTGTATTATGAATGTGGTATCGTGTAAGAATACAAACTCAACATCCTGTTTGAATTGGCAATTTGAATTAGTGAATTCTGCCAATTTTATAGGATGTCCTTTGGTAGCTTTCGGGAAGCTTGAAATACTAACTTTGCCACCGTATGGAACTCTTTCTGGTGTATCTAACGCTATAGTGGATATGACATGGAAATTGTCTTGAAATTCTGGTAAAGGTTGTATACAATATAACCGTTTTGACTGTCCTGGTTTGGTAAAAAAGTATACGTAAAAGGACCTTTGCCCATACTCATCCAATTCTTCGAGATAGTTGTAGGTATTGGGATATATGCTGACATACTCAGCAATTTTCACATTTCGCAAATAAGTTTGCATATTTTTGGGGAAAAGTCTAATAAATTGGTCGATGGCTTGTAGTGCAATTAGGTTTGCTGTAACAGGCAAGTATTGAACAAACAAGTCCACGAGAACACCTGGGTCTTTAACTTCATTTTCAACTGGTTGCAAACTATCCATAACAGACTGAAACACTTCCGAATAATCGGTGTCGTCTTGAATTCCCCATTGGTTTTTGAGTTTTTCAAGGAGTTGAAGTCTTTTTTTAGCATATTGCCTGCGAACACGTTCAGGTATGGTAGTGTTTTCTTCTGTATTTTCTGTATCTCCTGATTGAAATTGCTTCGCGAACGCGAGGTATCTCATCTGGGACCTTGTCGTCATCGATGACGCGCTTGGTTGTTCCTCTGTTGTTTCGTTTGTTTGTATGGTATTTTCTTGAGTAGATTGTCTTGAATTGTTGGACAATTGGTTTGCAATTGGAGAAGACTGTAAAACTTGTCCTGTTGTGTCTGGTACAACTGTATCTGTTGTTTCGTTTGTTTGTATGGTATTTTCTTGAGTAGATTGTCTTGAATTGTTGGACAATTGGTTTGCAATTGGAGAAGACTGTAAAACTTGTCCTGTTGTGTCTGGTACAACTGTATCTGTTGTTTCGTTTGTTTGTATGGTATTTTCTTGAGTAGAATGTCTTGAATTGTTGGACAATTTGTCTTGAATTGTATGAGGAAGTTGCTTTGGTATTATAGGAGGTCGTAAGGGTTTTGAGAATGGTGAGACATAAGTTGTAGGAACTTTAACTGCAGAGGTAGTCGACGAATTGTTTGCGACACTTTTTCTTCCTTCCATTAGACAAAAATGAACTGTTTTTTTCGGACTACTCATAGAAAAGTTTAAAATAAACCGTTTTCGTCAACGGAGACCCCCTCTATTTTTGTATTTTATTGAAAAGTCTCCGTTGGCAAACCGTTCCATCTCAAATATTGAATGAACTATAAACGTTTTTTGTTTTCTATACATACTTTTTTGTCCAACGGTAAAACTTTTTACACAACGGTTTTGAGAGTCGTCGCCGTTGACTTTTTTGTAGAACACTCAAAATAGTACAGCTTTGTCCAGACAAGTAAGGGTCTATCGTCGCTACAGGAAAAGTTACAGGCGTTCCAAGGAAGTATACTTTGAGAAGCCTTTTCCCTTATAGAATGAGATAGGACGGTTATTTTACAAAACTGACAACACTTTGACCGAGTAGTTTTTTTGTGCTGAACAAAAAGTGTCATATAAACATCTGTCAAAAACCGCTTTTTAACTTCACTTAAAATGCCACGTAAGCTACGTAAGAATATACGTAAGAGGAAGGGAGCATTGAAACATCCAAAAGTAAAACTGACACCACAACAACAGTTGCAACAACAAATGCTGAATGACCCCACTATGTTGCAACAAATGTCAAGCAATCCTATGCTCTTAAACCGAGTTCTTGGTGCACAGAGTGGAGGTTTAAGAGCGGCACTTTTAGCGAAAATGGCAGGCTATGGTGGAGCTGCAGACGGAACAGCTTATAACCCTCAAAGTCAAATGAATTTGAGTTCACTCAAAAATCAAATAACAGATGTCAAAAAGTCAAACATAGACATACAGAAGCAAATAAGTGAAAACGAAAAGAAACTAGAATATGACAGACACACAAAGAAACTCAATGAGTTAAACGTAGAGAAAAAGAAGAAAGAAGAACAACTGAAAGAACTAAGTACAGAGGAATATGCAAAAAAAGTGTCAGAAAAAGCAACAGAAGTAGCAAAAATGGAACAAGATGTCATAAATTTGAAAAACCATACTACTCAATATAAAATACTGAAAGATGAAGAAATAAAACAAAAAGCCCTGAAGACATATATGGATAGCGATGAGTATAAAAAGAAGTTGAAGCAAATGTAAAGGCAGAAAAACTTTTACAGTTGCAAAACCAAACCGTACAGTATGAAAACTTAGCACAAGAAAGTAAAAATAACGACGCGCTATGCAAAAGGCAATGAAAAGCGCAGAATATATAAAAGCTAACAATGACTGGTTAGATGCCCAAGCCAACGCTAAAGCAGCCCAACTCATAGGGTCAATAAGGACAAAAATACAAGCGGATGAAGACAGTTCAAATGAAGCTTTAACAAATGCTGACTTTAAGAACGCCTTCGAAGCTCTTCATAGTAAGGTGAAACAAGTGAACGACTTCTCATCTGGAAAGAAACTGAAGTCTGAAGGTTTCGACAAAGAGTTAAAAGAAGTAGCACAAAATATGACGAAAATAACAGATGCAGCAACGAGACAGGCAGTTCAAAGTGCCTATGACGCCGTTAGAGCAACTGTTGTGAAAAGTCAAGAAAAAGAGTTACAACAGACCAAAACAGACCTAGTAAATGCTTTCTTAAAAACGAAAAGTCAGGTAGGACATTACGCTGCAGATGGAACATATGTGCCAGCTGGTGGAACTTATATACCACCAAACCCTCCAAGAGAAGCACCTGCACCAGGACTACCTAAACATTTACATCGTCACATGGACACAGACACAGGCATGCACCAAAACCACCTCCAACAACCAGCACACAACCAACACAAACCAGCACAGCAACCAACAGTTCAAAACCCTGCACAACAACACCACAAACAGAGCAAGGACATAAAAGAAGTAGAGAACAAGGAAACCAAGAATTCTTAAAAATGCTTAAAGAAGAGTGTGGTTTCCCAGATACTGTTGACTTTAGTGACAGATATAAAGAAGCTATTGGAAAGTTCAAGGATGGAAATACTGACCCGAACCTATTTAGCTTTATGGCTCAGCACCAAAACGGATATAATCTCAAACCTGGAAAATACAAGCTCGCTAAGGGATATGATTTAATAGCATATCATCCAAATGACATGATGAATTTACTCCGAGATATTTGATGTCAGAGCTAAATGACAATTCAACTTTCGTCATGAAACGCGTAAAAAATAGAGACGGAACGAAAGAACAAAAGCTTATGAATGCGGATGACGTAGATAGGGAAATTGTTGAAAACGGTCTCGGAATATATGAAATGCCAGCAGATGAGGTACAAGAAACTCCACAGGAAGAAGTTCAGATACAACCAGACATGGAAGAAATAGTTCAGCAACAACAGCTAGAAGAGCCTGAAGGAAACGAACAAGTCCTCCTTTGGAAACTAACTTCACAGAACTAGATGAAGATTTGGAACAGCCGAAAAATCTTGACCCTCAACAAGAGTATGCGGAGAATATGGAATATTTCCAAGAGTCTAAAAAAAATTCGGCTGACATAGTAGAAGAATATCGAAAAATGTTTGCCGACATACAAAAGACTCCAACACCAGATGAAAATATTCAGCATAGAATGGAAGAACTGAAAAAAATGTACACAAATACAACAACCCTTTTTACTTACGAGCATTTAACGTTCAATCTTCGGATGAACTCGGTGAAGATAAAAGGTTAAATTTCAAGAAAACATATAGAAATGAAACATTGTTTAAAGTTCATTCAGAACCTAACCAAGATGGAAACAAACCTACTTTTGTTTCTGCAGACGATGGAACTACAATGAGATGGGGTCATAAAGCTAATCCAGATAGGTGGTTCATAAACTTACAACCACAATTCCAAGAAGTTGTAGACGCAATGGAAGTCAATGGTGAACAGATATAGCTGGTATTTTAAGCGCGGCTTTAATGCCATTGAAAGATATGAAACATGCAGATATTTTGGACCAGTATGAAATGAACATGGCTGATGGAAATATAACACCTGACGTTCTAGAACATTTATCTCAAAGAACTACACAGAACCATAGAGATGGTATATTTGGTGAAGAGTTTAGAAAGAAAGTTAGGGAGGGAGAAGGAAGAGAACCTATTGTACATGACCTTGCAAACGAAAGTTTACAAAATGTCATAAAAACTTACTTTGCAGACAATGAACCGAGAAGGGATGAATATTTAAGAAAACTCAAATGGACAGTACCAAATGAAATGTTAGTATTGAAAAACATGTTCCTTGACAAAATAAAACCAACTAGAAATAAACGACGCAAGACTGAAAGATTGGGTAAAAGCTTTCCCATTCACAAAAGATATAGTTGGTAACATGGAAAGAAAACCAGAATGGCTACAAAAACATATATTTGGAAACGAGCATATTCCATATGGACAGGCACTGTTTGAAGAGCTTGAACCAGAAACTCAGGAAAGAGTCATGCAAACAATACGCGAAGACTCAAATACAGACTATGACAAACTCTTTCTAGGATATAGGTTACCTGAGATGGGCGACCAGAGCCAAAAGGCAAAAAGGACATGGGAAATTTGCAACATACTAGATGAACATAATGCAAAGATGCAACAACTTCAAGCAGAGGGCAATGAAGGAAAAAGAAGAGTTAAAAACTCAGTCAGGAAGAAAGTAAAGCTTGGTCCACGTGGGTTCTATTATGACATATAAATCCAACTATTCTATATTTTTACTCATATGAAATGTACGCCGCTCAGAATATAACGCCAACAGTTTTGGATGCTATGAATGGAAATGTTTCCGAATGGTATAACGAATGCGACAATGCCATTAGAAGGTCAGAAATAGTTCCTGGAACTTACGAATATACAACTGCTGTTTCTTATGGAAATGTAGGTGAGTTTGGAGAAGGTTCTTCAACAACAGTAGATATTGCTTGCGACAGGTTTCATATAATTTCTATTGACAACTCATTTTATACGTGGAACAAGACATTGAAATAAAACCTTCTGCCAAGTTGTCTGACAAGAAAGGTTGCAATGGAATTTTCTATGTCGGATACCAATATGCTCCAGAAGTTTTCATGGGATATAAGATATATTCTAACTCTGACTTAGTTCAAACAGTAACATGGGCAAACTATGAATGGTTCGCTTTGAGAAACTCAGTACAACCACAAGCTAGAGAACAAACAGACCAGTATGCAACTATTGAGAAAATAAGAAGACTTGACCCTAACGTTCCAGGAGTTTATGTTAACCTTTCTGGACAAACTGCAGCAGCAGTAACCAAAGTAAAATTGAAACTTAGAGTTCCTTTGTCATCTTTCCTCATCTTCAGGTTTTTAAGATACTTGCCAAACTGGGCAGGAAAAATTTCTATCGAACTTACTCCAAGCAAAAATAACTTAGTCATTGCACCAACACAAGACCCATTCACTCTTACAGAAGTAGAGGGAACAAATAAAACGTCATTCGCCTTTTGCAAAGACAAAGTTGACTTAGACTTTGGTTTCTCAAACCTCAACACTGAAGTAAATTATTTTCAATGCTGCTGGAATGCTTGGACCAGTTAAGTTAAGTTCACATGCGAAAAATTTGAATGCAAGAGAATAGAAAGCAGACTTGCAGTCTATATGTTGGACCCAGATATTTCAAATGCTTTAGCTGCCAAATATATTGCAGTTCCACTTATGTTCCCTATACACCAAATATCTGTCAAAGACTTTGCAGGTGAAGTTGGAAACCAAAGTGCTGACCCAGGTGCAAGAACAGATATTGCTTTAACAACTGCAATGAAACATGCAGATACTATGTTTGTACTGTTCAGACGAACTATAAATGACTATTCTTGTTTCTACAACCCTGGTATTAAATATCATATAAACATAGATGGCAAATATTATCCAAGAGAAGAATATTCTACAGTTGAGGATATGAGGTCATACAACTTGACATTAGATGCTATGAACTTTAACAACAACTTCACAACAACCATTACCCTTGAAATGCAAAGTTCTAATATGCCATATGTGAAAGTATGGACCCATACAGGAGCTCAAAAAACACAATATACAAATGGAGACCGTTCAAACTTTTGGCTTGGCATTCCATTTGCTGACTCAGAAGACTTTATGGGTGGTATTTCAACTGTTGGTACAGTTCAAATACAATATACTGGTGACAGAGACGGTCCAGATGAATTGAAAGCAAAGAAGTTTACAAAACCAATAGCACTTTTCACGGAAGATGCTCTTTTGAAATTCGTTCGATGAAACCTGCTGGAGCTCCTCAGATTGGCATAACGACAGCTTCCATCGAGCAGATTTTGGCAGCAGGTCAGTAAGTTGTTCTTGAACTGACTTCTCACCATCGTAAATAGTTATGACACCAGTTTTGACATAAAATTGTATTATAAACTTACCTTTAGAAATATCTGTAAGTTTTGTTGTTATATTTTTGTCAACGTCAAGAACTTTCACCATTTCAGTTATACCAACTTTCTTTGCTTTATGAAAATATTTTGGTTCAGCAAATATTGCTATTCTATAACATTTACCATTGTTTGTGTAAAGAACTATTCTGTCAATGTATTTGTATTGTTTGTGTGTGTAAACTTTGTTTTGCTTCAATTCGAAGAGATACTCAAATACGTCCATCTTTTTATTCTAAGTAAAATGTCATTTCCGAAAATAGAAGCGTAAGTGTTTCAAAAGGTTTAATGGCGGTGGCAGATGTGAAGTTAAATTCACCAACTCAAACAAACAGTCAAAGTGTTGTTGTCAATGTCAAAGAAAGAGATGTTGAAGTGGGGAAACCATACGAAGACGAAGATGGTATAACAATAGTTCCTGTAAAAGAACAACCAACATATCCTGAAGTTAGCAGAGACTTAAGTTCTGTTGCAGATATTCGAAACGACTACCAACAACTTAAGACAAACTTAAAACTCAGGAGAAGATTTGTCAAGCTTTAGGTATAATGTTAAACTTGGTCGAACACAACCCTGTAAAAGTGAACTCATATGTCATCACCTCATGAAATTTTGAAAGAACTATTGAAACTTTTGACAGAGGCAGACGATATAAACATCAAAGAAATAGAACCGACATTGCTTGCTGTGGTGTTTCATATAATGTCATTGACAAGATATACGTTATGAAGGAGGTGAAACGTTGAACTTAAAATATAGTTTCCCAGACGTCATAAAAATTTTGACGACACAACATTTCATTAAAGTTTTGTTTGCTAAGTAAATGGCAGAAGACATAGTGGTTTATACTATTACGACTAAAAACCCTGAGTCATATAATTCTATAACAACAAACTTACAAAGTCCTCAAGGACGATATTGTAAACTGACCTTAAACACGATGACGACTAAAGCCTGTTTTTGCTCTTTTGACACCAGACTTTGTTGTTTGTGAATGGTAAAAATACTTCTTTGAAGATACTTACTCAGATATACCACCAACAGGTTTTGTTGACTTATTTAATACTTTAAGGACGGATGTAACATGTGCTGCAACTAGAGCAGGTTTTCATTATGTTTGGATGTCCGACTGGTTTACTATAAACGATATGAGCTATAATACAAAACTTATATCTGGTTTTTACTACCAACAGTTTCCTATAACAGGAAAAGGTGTCATACAAGGTCTATCTGTTCCATTGACTTTAAGTACACCTATTTTATATATTGTTTCAAACTTAGGTTCAAAGTGCTATTCGAATGTCGACAGAAACTACTATGACCAAAAGATACTCATGCGTATAAACAACACTTCTCTGCTGGTTTGCCTATTGTTCATTCGAATGCAGAGTTTCAGCTTTAGTAACTCAAACACTTTAGCAACATAAACTTAACCTTAGTTGACGCAAACTTTTGTTCCTGTAAAACTTTTATGTCCTATGTATTTGTCAATGAGGCAGAAGTTTCGAATTGGAAGATGCAACTGGTGAAAGTATTGTACTACAAGAACAACTTCAACAACAAATAGCTCAAGAACAACAAATGCAACAAATGGAACAAACAACAAAGTCAAGAATAAAAAAAATATTTTTTTTATTTTTATAAAAATGTACAGAATAGATGTTTCAGATTTTTATGACTTCCAAGCATTCAGAAATATGTGTCCATTTAGAGACTATAACAAAGCAGTCGAGAATTTGAAACGTTTAGTCATTTATGTCGACTCTGCCCCAGAATGTTATGTCATGAAAGAATGGGATGTTGTCTTTAACAAACCAAGAGCAACAATAGTTTCAGAACAAGAATGTAGACAGAAACTTAAGAAAATAAAAGTCGTACAAGTTGGATGAAGATGTTAGATGCTTGGGATATCTTATTGTCAAAGTTAGAAGATTTTTCAGTTCGTGGTATAAAGTTCTATACACCTTCTCCAAACTTCTATTCTATCTTCACTGGATATAAATACGAACAAGTAGAATGGAAAGAAAATGTTATAGAAGCTTGGTTAGACCATGTCAAAGAAATTATATGCAATGGAAACGAAAGAGTCTATGAGTATATCTTATGTTGGTTTGCAAACATCTTACAACATCCAAGTGCTAAAAATGAAACTGCTCTCATTATAATTGGAAAACAAGGAACTGGTAAGAACACATTCTTTACAGATATTTTGTGCAAACTGTTAGAGGGCTATTCGAACCCGAATATGACAAACTTAGAAAACATCTGTGGCAAGTTTAACTCCTCAATAGAGAATATGAAACTTATAGTATGTAACGAACTTCAAAGTATAGATACAACAAAAGTTTTGAACTCAGATGCTTTGAAGAGTCTTATAACAGACAAAGTTGGAGTTGTTGAAAGAAAATATAAAGACCAAAGAGTTTGTGAAAATGTTGCAAACTTCGTCATGGTTTCAAACAACGCTGTTCCGATGAAGTTAGAAAGTTCTGACAGAAGATATGTAGTTGTCAGAACGTCAGATTCTCATATGCAAGATACAGAATATTTTGACGACTTAGCAGAAACTTTGACACCTGACTTTTACAACCACTTGTTCTCATATTTCATGACATTAGATATTTCTAAGTTCAATCCAAGACAAATTCCACATACCGAAGAGAGACAAACATTGTTAGAAGCAAACAAGAGTGTATATGAACTGTTTATAGATGAGACTAACTTTGAGTGTTTAGATGAAAGGTCATTGTACGACTCGTATAAACAGTATTGTCAAGAATATGGTTATATGGCAGCTTCTAAACGTACATTCTTGGCAAATGTCAAAAGTCTTTTAGATGTTCAGAACGGCGTATATACAAAGAAAAATTTTTCTGAGTAAATTTAAAAAAAATATTTTTTTATCCGATAGAAAAGATGACGAAATATATTTCAGTAAATAAGTACATGACAGAAGTCAAAGATAAGTTAGCTCCATTCGCATATTTGAATGTTTACTTCTACAATTTTGAAAAGTCTACATTTGACAAAATTTGGAACATTGCACCAGTTAAGTTTGCTGTTGTGACTAAAAATGGTGCGAAATTTGAAGACTTAGACATAGAAGGTTTGTTAGCAGTCAAAGAAAATTTTGACAGAAGGTTTTCAAACCTTAAAGAAGGTAAAGCATACAAACTTGTTATACCTTATGAACCAAAGAAAGCAGACGACTATGAATATTATGAGTCTAAGATAGTTGAAGTTCAAGGTAAATTGGGTAAAAAGATTTTAGAGTCTAA